TAATATTATTAATTTAATATTTAATAATTTCACATTTTAATTTACAACTTTCTCGTATTCTATTAATATGTATCATCTTAGACATTTGTATATTATTTAAAACAATTTCGTTTGAACCCATATTATTACAAGTATTTTTTGTCTGACTCTAAAAATCCTGAGGCTTGCCAAAGTTGACCCATTTAGGATCATGTAGTCCGTTTTGATAACTCTAATTTGAGGTGACGTGTTAGGGTGCGTCTGGATTCCAAATTCTAGACTATTTTTTTAATCTTTAACTTGACTTGCTTTAGAGAGAATTTGTTGTGTATTTGATATATCTGATGATCCAAATATGAATTTTAAAGATAATTTTAAAATTAGAGTGTGTGAATAAAGTGTGAGGTCAAATGGATAATAAAAAATAGAGTTTCTTAATGCACCCTAGATCCTTCTACTGCACTATGTGAATTTTCATAAATGCCTCCGGGTTTCATAGATATATCTCCGGATGCACCTCTTGCACACTCAAGTAAGGTCATTATTGGATTATTTTTATTCCGGAGATGCATCTCCGAAACATTTTTAAGATAACCCTTAATTATTTAACAGTTCAGTAGAAATCCTAGAGATGTATCTCTGGAATTATGGGTAACATTTTGAAATTTTTTGTCACATTTGCATGTCAGATATTTCCAAAGATGCATATCTGAAAATATCTGATATAGAAACTAGTTGCATGGTCACTCACCCATTGTTGACATACTTGGTTTTAAACCAAACCATTCACTCTAAAAAACCTTCATTCTCAATTCACTTTTTCACTCCAAATCTCCATCCTTTTGGTTCATCATATCATAGGGAGCAAAAGAAGCTAGAATTTCAAGTAAAGATTCTTCTTTTCCTTCTGCATTATTCACATTAATCATCCTTTTTTCCTAAAAAAAAAGTTACGTTGTGTCCGGAGATGTATCTCCGGAACGTTTATGAACTTGTCTGGAGATGCATTTCTAGAAGTTGTATGTGTTCATTTTTGAAGTAATTCTGTAGCAGTAGTGGCGCTTAAGCTATGTTATTATTTTAATTATTTTCATTAGATATGGTGCACCCCGATATTTTCCCAAAATACATTGTTTCTCCAAATGTTCAAGGTGTGGTTTTTCTCCGAATGTTCAAGGTGTTGTTGTGAAGGCGATAGATGTTGGCAAGGACTTTAAAAACAAGCAAGAGTTTGAATCTCGTGATCAAATGCTTGAATGGATTCATATAGAGGCCTTTAAACTTGGATTTGGTGTGGCTATCAGAAGGTATGATAATGGTTCAGATAGAAGATCCGCCTTTGTGACAATGATGTGCGAAAGAAGCGAGAAATATCGAACTCCTCTCCGGAATTTTAAAAGACATGACACCAGTACAAGAGAATGTGAGTTTCCATTTAAGGTTCATGGTTACATGTTGGAAAATAAAAATTGGAGATTTAATGTGATGTGTGATTTGCATAACCATGAATTGTATTTAAAATTAGCTGGTATCCTACTATCTGTCGGCTCAAGCCGTAAGAGAAGGAATGTGTTGTTGGCATGACCTTGAATCTTATTCAACCGAAAAATATACTTTCAACATTGAAACGAAAATGACTCGATAATATATCAAATATCAAGCAAGTGTATAATATCTGGTACCTCACTAACAAGGCGCTTAGGTTGGATAAAACTAAGATGCAACAACTCTTAAAACTGTTGGATGATAACAATTACGTGTCCAGGTATCAAACGTGCAACGATGAAGTTACTATTAGAGATATTTTTTGGACTCATCTTGATTCCATAAAATTGTTCAACATGTTTCGTGTGGTGCTCATACTTGATTCGACCTACAAGATCGACATGTATAAACTTTCATTATTTGAGATAGTTGGTGTTAACTCAACTAAGAAGACATATTTTATGGGTTTTGTATTTCTCGAGTGTGAAAAAAAGGAAAATTCTACTTGGGCATTAGAGGTGTGTCAGTCACTTTTGAAGGTCTAAGGTGAGATGCCTAAAACGATTGTTACCGACTGTAATACGATATTGATGAATTTGTTTGCAAATATATTTCCTTCTTCTTATGTATTACTTTGTAAGTATCACATAACAAAGAATGTGAAAAGTCGGGTTAAACCCGCAGTAGGGACTAAACAAATAGAGTGTAAAGGTGAAAATTTGGTGAAGGCGAATGTGGTTGTGGAAAAAATAATGGATGCATGGAATCATATAATAAATTCTTCTACAAAAGAATTACATGTCGGCTCCATTATTTATTTCAGAAAAGTGTGTGAAAAGTATCCAGATTTTTTGAAATATGTTGAAAACACAATTCTTTACCAGGTGAAATGGAAAATAGTTTGTGCGTGGACTGATAATGTTAGACACCTTGAAAATACAATAACTAACAGAGTTGAGTATGCCCATGCAACTATGAAAAATTGGTTGGGAAATAGTAAGGGGGTTTGTGTAGAGAATGGGACTCCGTGAACCACATGATTCAAAACCAGTATAATGACATACAAACAATATTTGGTCGAAGCATCACCGTTTTGGAACACAAATTTAAAGGCAACACTTTATATTCTCAGTTGGTTGGTAACATTCCTCAGACAGGTTTAAACTATATTTTTCACGAGGCTAAATGAGCTGATAATGTAGGCTCCGATAGCGCAAAGTGTGGATGCACAATTGTGAAAACATACAGTCTTCTATGTGCTTGTGTTATTTCTAAAAAATGAAACTTGGTGAACCAATAAGAATGGACGAGGTTTGCACTCATTGGAAGAGGCTTAGGTTTGATGATGATGATGGATGCATGGATGACGGTAAATCGAATATCTCTATTTTGACAGAATGGAAAGTGATACAAGAGATATTTTTGAAGATCGGCGACAACATGAAACTCCACATCAAAGAACAATTGAGGAAGATTGTCTATCTAGAAACCACCGACATGAAACCACCTTTTCAACCGATAAAAACAAAAGATGCTATGAAGAAAATAAAGCCTACACCGAATGACAACTCGACTACATGGTCTCCTTCATATTTTGAACACGTTGACAATGTTTTTCCCGACTCACCAACTCTAAAATCGCAAAAACGTGTTGTTAAAGGAGCTTGCATTAGCAAACCACCCCTGGCGCCACTTCCGCCAAAGATTCCATTCATCGACGAAATGCCTGTTTTTATGCACAAATATATCGAGCAGATCGCCAATGTTGCGGAGGACGGTAATTGTGGTTACCGAGCCATTTCGGATTTACTTGGTAATGGAGAAGATAATCATACACTTGTCCGACATCAACTTATCCAAGATGTTAAAAACGCATAAAAAATCGTACACACTGTTGTACAGAAAGAAAGAAAAATTAATGGGGCTTATGAGTCTCTTGTTCCTTGCTTGAGCAGTTTGACACTGGAGGCAAAATGGATTCGCTTCCCTTAAATGGGTCACCTAATAGCATGCGCATATGATAAAGTGTGTGTTGACCTGACATGCTATGTTTTTCAAAAACCTTTTCCCACTATGCACCGCCCCACCCTCAAAATCCAAATGATTGTATCATGTGTATTGGATGACTTTCAAAATCAAGTCATTTTGTTTAAGTTTACTTGAAACCGAGATGCCCTATACCACTTACATCACCAGAGTGGACGACTCATTCAAATGCAAAAGCTGAGACGTGACCGAATTATTTTATGGAAATGATGCAAGAATTCGAGAGATTGAACAACATTGAAAAAGAATTAAATGCGCAAAAGTCCAAGGGTGTACCACCCATAGATTTAGCCGACTACATATGTTTCAATTCATTTTAATTGTATGTAATTGTGTGTCAATATAAATGAAGTGTTATATATTCACATTTTGTTCATATTCTATCTATGTATTTTTCATCTTCCCCATATCAACACGTGTTATCTTGTTAATGGAAAAAATAAGTTTTGTTTTAGTGTTCTGTTTTGAAACTGATTCAGGACAAGTTCTGGATATGCATCCCCGGAACAAGATAATAGGATGCAGTTTCAGATATATATCTTCAGAATTAATATGAGTGGTCCAAATTGATCAATGGCTTTTATAAATTTAGGTGCTCTAGTGTTATATTTCACACAACTTTAAAATGTCTCAAATGTTACAAATAAATATCTATTGGTATGTTGTAAATGTGTCCTTCTCCGGCTCTACACTCGTCCGAGCATTCAAACTCGCCGACCTCACATCCGTTGAAGATATTAAAGACGAAATTCACCATCTCTTACCTTACAGAGATAATCGAAAGATTGTGAAGCTCGGGTACCGTTCATCATCGATTGACAACAGAGGGAAGATTGAGTTCAACAAATTTGAGCTCAAGACACAAGCGGATGTTAGGGCTATGTGAGATACATATTTTGGTTTCAAAGAGAAAGTTTCGCTCGAGTTGGAAGAGACGCTACAAAGAGCGGTCAAATGTTATTCTGAAGATGTGTAAGCGTCCATTGAGATATTAAAATGTAATATTGAATTTTATGTAGAATTCATCATTGTAATACTCATTTTATGTTATGAATGCCAATTTCATTTGTGAAAATAGTTTTAATGTTTATTCTGTTTCTGGTGTGCCTTTGAAGATGTAGTTAAGGAATTATTCCAGAGATAGATCTCTGAAATAAATTAAATTAAAAAAGAGACTATCTCAGAATAATCTTTAATGAATATATAATTGAGTGCGTCCAGAGATATATATCCAAAATCAGGTGCATATGTAAAAACTCACATGATGCATTAAAAATCTATAATACAATAAGAAATTCTCCTTAAAAAAACATGGTGTAAATATATGTGAACTTAACCCATTGCAAATCAGCCCAATACGTAAGGAAAAGGATATTAGCGTCTTTTTCAAAACTAGGGTTCAGTTTAGTTTATGATTCCTAACTTCTCAGCTTCCAAGTCTGAGCGTGCCGACTGTGACTACAGGGGAGGAAATCGCAGCGTAACCAGCAATGGTAATTTCTCTATTTCCATCAATTCATTGTAGCGTGCTTGTATATCTCTACTGATTTTCAGTTTTCTATATGAAATCACAAGGCATATATCATTATCCTATTTTGATTTTGAATATCTTTCGTTTATGATTACCTTAGATCATTTCGTTTTCATCTGCTATGATTTTTTATGTTTCCAATGATATAATAAAGTTTTATATTCATATGAACCATGAAATTGAAACAATAGAGTTTAAAGTAATTTGATATGACTTAGTGATAGAAAAAAATGTGATTTAGGGTTTTTGATTTTTGTTTTCTGAGTTTGAATTTCTAGGTTATGATATGAATAATGGTTATCTGTCTATATTTTTTTTATGTTATTTGAAATGCAGCCTAAGCAAATCAATGAGATTAAAGACTTCCTCCTCACGGCCCGGAGGAAGGATGCGCGATCCGTGAAGATCAAGAGAAGCAAAGATGTGGTCAAGTTCAAGGTTCGATGCTCCAAGTACCTTTACACCCTTTGTGTGTTTGATACCGAGAAAGCTGATAAGTTGAAGCAATCACTTCCTCCAGGTTAGTTATTGAGAATTGTTAAAGACATTGACACCGGTAATAATTTGAAAAAATGAATAAATCAAACATAATCACAAGTGTGTGTTAGTTTTAGACACTCACACCGACACACTTTTTTTCAGTGTCGGTGCTATAGAGGTTACTATTGCCTTATAATTGTAATTAACATGCTAGCACTTTGATGTTGTAATTCTTTATATTATGAATATATCAAGTAAATAGTAGGATTGCATTATGGCCACACGAAGAATATTTCATGCATCTGACATTTCGTGTTCTCAAATCTCAAATGGGTTTCTGTTATTTTTCTCACTTTTGCAGGTTTGAATGTTCAAGACCTATAAATCCTATCCTGCTTAATGTATTCTGAAGATCAAGTTTTGCTATGGAATAGTGCTTTCATATATTTTTTACCTTTTGTTTTGTTGTTGATTACTTGCTTATGATTCTCATTATGAATGATCCAACTCTGTTTTATTGTCTTAATGCAGTTTTACCATGATTTATTCAATCTATTAATCCTCTAATCTTTTATTTATCGCGATTATTCATGAAATTCAATCGGCCTAAAGCTCATAGGAGTAAAGCTTAAGCACTGTCAGGCTGCTACCAACAATTTGTTCAAGCTATTAATCCTCTAATCTTTTATTTATCGCGATTATTCATGAAATTCAATCGGCTTAAAGCTCATAGGAGTAAAGCTTAAGCGCTGTCAGGCTGCTACCAACAATTTGTTCTTGCAGCCAGCAGAAGTGGTCTGCTCAATAACAAGTCTTGTAGTCCTTTCGCTCCTTTTTAAGTGTCATTTTTTAAATAATTTTTTTTGTTTCTTTTTAATCGTCACTTGCAGTAGTAATAATTGCATTTCTGTCAAAATTTATCCTTTTGTAAAAAACAAAAAGATACACTTAAAAAGAAACTGATACGAGGGAGTATATTAAACTCCAATGGTCATAAAGTTAATTGATCTGATGTGCTGCTTTCCTTGTTTTCAAGAGCTAAGTTCTTCTCTACCAGTGTTTCAAATATCCAGTATTGCATTTACGAAATCCGGTATTGCATTTTGATTTCGCCACTATTTAAAACTGTGGCGCTGTTTCGTGCTTAATTATTTTTTCATCAACCATAGCTACTTGTATTATTATAGAGTGTTTTGTTTCCATGTGTTGAAATAATTGTGGATTGTAATACCACAGATTTTGAATTCCGTTACACGACCCTTTAAGAAATATGCTGTATTGTCGTATGAAAAGGTGAACACGAATGGATTTGATTGGACGCTTTTGTTTGTCGACAATGCGATGTCAGTTTTTAGCCAAATAATGAATCATATGTGATGTGTTAACTCTTGCAAGATTGTCACGAATTGATTCTTGTTTTTCATGACATATTATTTGTACCAATTACTCCGGGCTCCATTTCAAAAATACTTTTTGAACAAATAAAAATATTTCAAAATTATTTGACGGAGAAATAAATAAAAAATATTTATGTACAAAGTTTAAATATCATATTTCTCTGTTTCATATTAACCTTACAAATAAAAACACCAAAAACGTTGGTGACGAAAATCTTTAGTGGTGAGGAACGTTGATATCGTGTCTTACTTGGATTCTTGCAATTGTTTTAATCTAACAGTCCAACTCCAACATTGAGTTGTTGATTTTCAACAATCATTTGCTGCAAATGAGTATGCCGTGGAAACTTAAACTTGATACATCATCTTCAACGAACTTTAGAGAAACAAATACTCCTATTTTATATTTCAAACAAATTTTACTTTTTAGATACTTTGAATGAATTTATAGATTAGATATATTAATTATTTAATATATTTAAAAATAAAATTTACATATAATATAAAACTGATGGAATAAGTAAAAACATCTTCATCGTTTGTTTGATAAAATATCCATTATAAATTTTACATATTATTAACGTGTTTCCTACCATGCCATCTCGTAAAGTCTTCAACAACGGGAGAGTGCTTGGAAGGGAGAGGAAGAGAGATAGATATAGATATAGAGAGAAACATTCAATTATGTTAATATAATGTATCAAAAACATGATATGGCAAGTAACTTAGACTCTAAATATGATACCACAAGAACTCTGATGAATGTACTATAATTAGTAAGTAATTTAGAGAATTTATTAGAAGTGTATTGATAACCTAAATAACAACGAGATCACTTTATAATAATATTATGTTGAGTTTTAATTATAGATCGAAAATTATGATAAATATCAAAAAATTCAGAATATTTTTTATAAGATAAATTTAACAATAACGAGTATAATCATCAACAAAAGAAACATAATTTCTAGATCCATCTTTGGTAAGAACCGATAATGGACCACACATATTAGAATGAATTAGATCAAAAGGTGCATTTGAAACAGAAATACTTTTATTAAATGGCAAGACAGGAAATTTAGCAAGTGTACAACTACAACAATTAGAAATATAACTAGTTTTCAACTTTATTAAAGGTCTAGTAGAAGTCAAATATTTTAATCTAGAGGCGAAAACATGTTCAGCTGAGAATGTCATAATTAAAAACTAGTAGAAGAAAAATTCAAACGAAATAATGATAAATCAACAATGGATGTTAAGGCTGCAGTATTTGAAACTTTCGACTCTTCCAAAACATATAGTCCACATGTCTATGACCTGTCCCAATCTTCCTCCCAAATTGTGAATCTTGTGCATAACCAGATATGGAAGAAAACACAAATGAGTAACCAGAATCACACAATTGACTAACAAAAGCAACACTCAAAGTGAGGTTAGGAATATAATAAGCATCAGATAAAGATAAGTTAGTTGTGGAGACAGACGTTACACCTGCTACTGGCATAAAAGTACCATCAGCAATCAAGACAAACATGGATGATGTAAGATTTAAAGTTGCAAAAGACTTATGATCATATGACATATGATGTGATGCACCAGAATAAAAAGTTCATTCGAAAGAAGATATACCTAGCTAGTTATAGGGGGTCAAACCTTTAACAGTTGAGGCAGACATAACATGTAGTTAAGTGACAAGAAACTTTTAAAAATGTTCAGCAATATCAGATACCCGTAAAGTAGTCTCAAATGGGTATACATGACTAATACCATAACCAAGAAGAGCAATTGTATAAGGAGAAACAACAACATGGGACGATGGAATATTAAAATTCTTTCTCTCCGACTTCAATAATTTTGGACATTGTGCTTTCCAATGTCCATTTTCCTTGCAAAAAGAACATTCATCAATACCAACTCTTCCTTGTGATTTTCCTTTGTAAAAAGAAGAAACTCTTCCTTGTGATTTTCCTTTGTAAAAAGAAGAAGCAAAGACAAATGGAAAAGGTAAGAGATTTCATCTCTCATGATGTGAATAAGAGTGAGACTCAAGTCTTATTTCTTCTTCCAAAAACTCATTAACTATTGAATCAATGTATGCTTTCAAAGCTCACAATTCGTCTGATTTAATGAGTGCCAATTGATCCCACAAATTTTACACAATCAAATAAAATTCTTGAGTAGTCATATTGTTCTACTTTAGGGCTCGAATATCAATATCTAGTTGATATTGTTTTGCAAAATTAGATGTAACATATAAATGTTTCAAATGATCTGAAACTTCCTTAGTAATATCTCAAGGTGAGAAAAATACACAAGAAAGGGGGTTGGATTGTGTATGCCATAAAACCTCTTTTCACTCTTGATTCTGAAACATCAGATTCATAACCAAGTTCAAAGTCTAATAACATAATGAATAATGGAAGTGAAAAGTTTACTTCCTTTCTTAACCCTGTTTCAAAACCTAAGGTGTCAAGCTCAAATTCTAATACAAGTAAGAGACTCAATTAGATCAAAGTCTAACTTCAGAGTTTGTTTGTACAACGGAATATAAATGCAGAAGTAAATAAAGAGACACACAATATAACATGGTTCCTCTCAAGTGAGAATAATCCAATCCTCTTGCAGTACAAAAGCTTTTAACTATAATCAATAAGATTACAATTTCTTAAGTCAACAACTCAAGACTTCCTGCTTAAACCCACAATTCAAGACTTTCTGTTCAATCACACCAGATTGAGACTTCCTGTCTAAGACTTCAAGCATGAGACTTCCTTGTCTAAACATCCAGTTCAGGATTTCCTGCTCAATCTATATATATTGAGACTTTAATGCTAAGTCACACTGACCGAGACTTCCTTCTCTTCTCGCAAGCATGAGACTTCATTTCTCAATCTATCCAGAATGAGACTTACTTTGAGCATTGAGGCTAGAGTCTTCAGATTCTCTTAGCAGAAGAATCTGGTATTAACCTTGTGTTTGCATATATGCTTCTTAGATAAGCAGATACATAAAGGTTTAAACTCTTAAGCAGAATATGAATTGTTTGCTCTTGAGAGTAGAAGAATGAAACGTTCATTCTTCTTTTCTCCTTGCATAGATTTCCATCTTATTGTGCCTTCATGTTCTGTTGATCATTTTCACATATTCTTTCTTCAGAACATATGTGAATATGTCTCACTCTACTCTCACACACTTAACCCTTCTGGTTATGTTTTCTTTTTATGTGTGTTTCTCTTATTTGTGTTTTTTTGTGTAACACAGATTCTCTCAACTCATTTATGTAAACTGTGTTAGACGACGAAAATGATCTAGAAAGGGGGTTGAATAGATAACTAATTCTTATACAGAGTCGACGCTTATGATAAATTGGTTTTTAAAACTTTTAAGCGGAAGCAGCCGAGGAACTAAGATCGTCTAAACGAACCGTTATGAAAAGATCGGATATGCGATAAGCCTAGATAGAATATTGATTCCAATGAGAAACCGAATCAAAAGTTTGAACACAAATCAATAAAATTTTATTCACTCAAAGTTGTTCAATTTCCAATGCCTTGTGAAAAATAAACTTAAGTTGAATGACAACCCAAATGGTTTGTGTTCAAGCAATTTGTCGAACACTTGGTGTGCGAAGCACTCCAAGTGAAATTTACTAAGTAATGGTAGTGCTAAACCTTTCCAATTACAATTAAAAGGATTGTAATGAGTTTTCCAGATACTTTTCAGCACTAAACTATACCAGAATTTTAATCAAGCAATTTAATCATACACAAACATTAAAATTCAGAAATAGAAAAATAGCGAAAGAGAGAACAACACCAAATTTGTTGAGGCAGTTCCCCCGTCGCCCTCGCTTGGGGTACGTTTGTCCTCAATTCTAAAAATAGAATTGAGACTATATAAACTCGTCACAATTTTTTTGTACAAGAAAAGAAATAGTAATCAAACACTCAAGACTAGTTGTTGATGTTGAAACTATGTCTTTTCTCC